ATGACTAGCTAGTGTGGCTGCTGGGATTAAAGGTGTGTGCCACCACTGCCTGGCCTCTATGACTGACTAGTATGGCTACCGCTGCACTCCAATCTTCAGACACTTCAAGTTCTATTCAGTTTATCACTATGGCAAGAACACTTTAATCTCCTTCATTGCAACAGCTTTCAACCATATTAACCTAAGGAATTAAATGATTTTCGTTAAACCTGCTGACATTTATCTAGAGCAACGAACCCTTGAGGCAAAGTTATATATGCAATTAAAATACCAGTTATAGTGACTACAACACAAGCTGTAATAAAGCAATTTAATGGAGTTCATTGATACTAGAAATTGTCTTAAGTTTCTGTTTATGAAATAGAATTTGAATGATGGAAGCCATGGTATGTTTATAGAAAGTATACTTTGATATTTTGTTCTTAATTAATAGATACAAGTTGCTATGGTATATCACCTTCTCTTAACAACCATTCAGTTCCCAAAATATGAAGGCATAAGGCAAAACTTGTACGTTTTGTATACTATTTCTATCTAATTTCAAGTTGAGAAATCTATCATAAGTCCTTGTGAGTAGGCTAGTTGTACTGTCAAAACACAATATCATCATCTTGTTTACTTAGCTCTCAATATGTATGTACAAATCCCCTATGCAGATTACAAATGAGATATAAGAGGTAAATCTATACTAGAGTCAGAATTCAAACATCTTTGTGACTCCAAACTTTTACCTGTACAATGATATGACAATACATTTAGCAGTCACAGTAACTTTTACTCCACTCACAGTTGAGAAGTCCAAGGCTCAGCATTCATAGCTTCATCAGAAGTTACTAGAGAAGGTTCCACAAAGCAATTAAGTCAGGCTCAAAGACACCTTTTTCTTCTGCAATACTCTCCCAATGGATTCTGTAGTATGACTATTCCTGATTGAGTCATTATTGAGATACAGCCATCTGCTACTATTTTTAGTCATTTATGCATATATTTCATATTTATCTTCATTTTGTTGAATAAAGTGACAGGAAAAACAAAGCAGTCAAAAAAATCTATGTGGTTTCTACAGTAATTTAAAAAGAATCACCTCTGGCTGCTCTGGTTGGAATCATAACTAGTGATTCCTGGGTTATCTTTAGCCCACCCAGTAACCTTACTGCTTCTTCTCCTTGTGGACTCAAAACAGCATATGGCTGTTTGTTTGCAGTTCCAACTCTTCTGTTTAGCCAGAACCTCGAGGTTACAATCTGTTTTCTGATCCCTATAAGGATCACTTGCCTCTTGAGACATGCATTCCTAGCAAAATAGGACCTAATTATGCAACTTCACTCCCAGGTAGACAGATACACATTTCACATGTGGACCAAGATAACTGGGTAGAAATACTACATCAAAATAAGCAAATTACAGTAACTGCTGAATTAAAACCATACACTCATTGCAATAAATGAAAACAGTAATATTTCCAATACCAAGGGTGATACTTTGGGAATCTTGTATTTCTAAGACATTTTCCAGGATCAAGAATGGTTAGTTTACTTCAAACATCCATTCACTTCACTAAGAGGTATTTGGGAAAGATTTGCTTCACTCAAATGTGCCCAACCATCTATTGAGTGTGTGGAGAGTCATCCTGCGATTGAATTCAGCCAGAGGAAAACAAAACAAAACGGGTTCTTTGAAAACAAGAATACATTCCAATAAATGGCTGATAAATGTTTACCATTGAGAGAGTGAAACCAGTTGTAAATCTGATTTAATAGAATAAGGAGAAATGGTGGATATGGAAAATAAATCCTCCTCATTGTGCTCTCTGACAGTGATTCCAATCAGTGGCTGTGACAGGTAGACCCCTCTCACTAGGGTGCTGTGTCAAACTATATGTGGATCCCTTCTTCAGGACCCCTGAGTCTTTACCAGAACATCTCCGGTCTGAGTCTCTCTTCCCTCACAGCATGGAGTGCCTTAAGGCAGCGACCACATATCCGTGTCTACATCCCTACAACCTCTAAGCTGCACAAGAGATCTCACCAAGCCAATCCGGCAACAGTTCTTATTCCTCCCACTGACCTGAAACTCTGTACCCTTTGAAAACAGTATAGTAACCACAAACAAACAAACAAAATAATGCTGCTCTGCAAATTTCACATTTTCTTTGCTTTCTCAGGCAAACCAGGACACTGTACTGTGATTCACACTGCCTCAGACTTGACTTATTCCAGCCCAAGAACTATAATGCTGCCAGTACTTGACCAGCTTGGACAGGCATCTGTTCTGCTCCAGACCTCTGAATGGTCTGCTACAGGAGCTGTGTGGTCAGCACATTCCAAAATGTATAGCCCAGGCTGGCCTCAAATTCATGATAATCCTGTGTCTGTCTCCTTTAGCAAATTATACTAGCATGTACCACCACAGCAGACTTCAAGTTTTCTAAAAGTGTTGATGTAAATGTTTCTGTCACAAAAATGTTAGCATATCAGAGAGTTGGTAATTTTGCTCATTAACCTATCATCACTATTCTACTTTGTAATGCTCTATCAAAATATTTCATTTTATGTCTGGGTATATATGCATGTATGTATGGTGTATAAAGTCAAGAAATTTTAAATTCTGTTTGGAAAGAAAGCATTTTAAGGTTTTAAAATAAGATCTTGAAAGCCACTCATCCCCACACAGTCACCCAGATGTCAATATCTATTCAAATACTTCTAGAAGAAAAAAAAAACTATACATTTATCTTATGTGAAGCTTACACTGTAAGTGCAGAGAGAACTTTCCAACTATCAGAAAAGTAAGAAGTACTGATTATGTTAACGTTTTAATTGCAGGGATTCTCTGTAAGATTGCTCCATATAGTCCTTTCTTCCTCTCTTGCTTCCCTTCCTCCCATTCTGAACTTTCTAAAGAAAACTTAAGTGCCTCTTCTAAAAGGACTTCAACTCTGCACTTACTGAACTCTTTCAGAATCCCACAGTTTAGAATTCAGAGCTAGGAAGTAGTATATGACCATGTTTATGAGCTTGATATGCACCAGGAAATGGGCTAAATGATTTCTTACTTTATTTCATTTAATTTATATTACAGACATATGAGGTGGTTGCTGCTATTTTCACCTTGGCGTTTATGAAACTAGGGTACGATAATGCTTAACAGTACACAGATACTAAGCAGAATGACTGTAAATCAGTAGCTTCACAAGCACCCCCACTCCTTCTTCAAACAAGAGTCCATTCAGTTTTTCAGGTGAGTTAAGTAACTTATCCTGACAGTCTGCAGAATCCAGTCCTTGCTTTATATCTGCCCTTCAGGGCCTCATTCCCTATTGTTCCTTAGAATAGCAACTTCATTCTTTCAGTGAGTCTAGCCCTACAGTATAGTATAAACTAAACATTCACAGCCTGCATGAAAAATTGTAAAGATTGATTTGATATATTTAAGGGAGATTACAATTCAAAGCATAAAGCATTCATGCATCATTGAATGTACATAAAAGCACAGCTTAAGATTCAACATTAAGTTTTAGAATAAACAGATTATGCATACAGAGAAGAGATGGATGTGTGTTCATTTGTGTGTGTAATTATTTGGGGCTCTTAGTACATTATAGGGAATTTGATATTATACATAGTATATGGCAGTCCCACGAAATTTTTTTACTATGTAAATTCTTAACCAAAACAATACAATACACATTTTGAATCTGACAGAAGTCAGATAAAAGTAGCTTATGTATTTAAACCATTCTCAAGTTTTTCTTTGTCATATGAAGTTTACTTCCCAGAACTATACTTCCAAAAGATGACAGTAAAAAAGATATTGATTTTCAGATTATAAATAATCTGTGGCATCTTTTCAAAGTTAAGTTTAAATAAATCATATTTGGTTTCAGAACAATATATGAGTTTCACAAAGAAACTAAAGCCCTAACCATGGAAATTCAGGGCTGCCTTTTTCAGTGGCTAGAATCAAAACTGCCTCTGCATGGCTGAATGAGAACTGTGGCAGCCATCAGGAAGCCACTTGAAAGAAACAAACTACAGTTCTGTAATTTATTATCATCACTTCTAGGCTGTGAGCTTGGGTGACAGATACTACAAAACTATGTTACTTCAAGAGACATTTGAACATACAGGAGGAGAAAACTGTGTTAATATGTCACCCCATGTTTTTGAATAGCCTCAAATGCAAGAAAGCACATGAGCATGCCCTTGGGATTATATGGCTTTGAGAAGGGTACTCTCTTAACAAAAGTGAATACCTTGCACGTTGCAGATGTATAGCAGTGGAGAATGTTTATAGGTTTGCAGGAATACTTTTGCAGGTATCCTATGGCCCTCAGAGAAAACACAGACTATCTTAGTGATTCCTCAGATGCTACATGCTGGGACTAAGCATTGTTCAGCCTTGGAAAAATTGTTCAGTATAAGAGAATCTCCTATCCATGGTTGAGTCAACAGGACACACTCTATACCTGAAGTCAGTGTGTGTTTAAAATACAGCTGGAACTGCTGAAATGTGAAATAAGTCTTTTGGGCTGGTATTAAAGATGTTTCAATCCCTTTCCCAACTCCAACCCTGCCCCTTGCACTGTGGGTTTTTCCAGGCATCTCTTCACCTTCAAGCTCAGGATGGCTTCATAGGCCAAAGCCCCTGACACTACTGTCAGGTGTCATCAGTATGTCACCTCAAAAATCTCAGGGGATTCCTTGCCTAATAGGAGATTCTCTGGGCTCACAATGATGAAATATTCCTTGGGTCTGTCAGTCCCCCATTGTGAGGCCAGCTAAATGGCAAAATTCGGACAAATAAGTGACAGCTGCCTTAGACACTAGAATCCTACATCAGACGAGGCTCTAAGTATATAGGGTCCAAAGAAGATTAGACTTCCTCTATTCTTATGAATATTGTGGAATTTCTCTGCAGATATTCAAGTTTAGTGCCTTAAAAGGAGCATTCCCCTTTAAGAGCTAGTTATGATAATGCATAAGGATAGTGATACTTGCTTTTAGGTGAAGTTGATTGGTCCAGTGCCCGATGATTTTATATTCTGTACTTTTGTTGTTTATCTGATACTGGAAGATATCATAGCGTCCAGGAGCATCACCATTTTCATTAAAAGTGACAGGTGTACCAGCGCTGCCTATAAAGATTAGGAAAAGAGTGTTAATAAAGTATAGAACACAGCCCAGTGGGCTTATTTTCCTGTAATGAAGAATGGTAGATAAAAACATATTGTGTGTAGTAAGGGACACGATATTGTAATCCATACAAGGTTATTATTGATAGTAAAATATCTTTCACATGAAAATCAGCCTAGATGCACATGTAAGGATAAAATGGACTTTATTGTATACATTAGAAAGTAAATGATGAGTAGCCAAACTAAATAATATATGTATAAGCTAAGCAAATAAAAATTGATAGTCTGAATATTCAATACTGGCTTTGTAGAATGTGGCTTAATGTGGGAAATTAACACACATTGAAATATGACACCTACTGTACAATATGATCGACAAATACCACCACAAAACTGACAGAACATCCAAGCCAGAAGCCTAAGTGCTTGACTTGATGGCGAGTTCAGCTCCAATATGAAGCAGGTGCGGTTTTTAGCTCCACTGCTTCTGAGCAGATCACTGCGAGCTGCTCTTGGAAACCTCCACTAGGCAATGCAGAGTGAGCTGTGGAGAAGCCCAGGTCTTCTCAGATCATCAAAGCCCCGTGATTCACTGTGATGAGTGTAATGGTGACAGAACAGCAGGATGCAAGGAATTTAGTCTCTTCTAAACTCCATTTCTCTTGGAAGCTTTCATCTTTTCTCTTGATAACTTCTGCTCACTTTTACTTTCCCTCTTATTAACTTTTATATAATCGCAGGTGTAAGGGTAGAATGGAATGAGACCACAATGTTTTCTCATTCCATCTCATGGCACTATCTACACAGGCTTGCTTTTTCTCTAACAGCTTTTAGACCTCCCTTCATCTTCATGGATTATTTTTTTTTAACTTTAAACATTCAGTTGATAGCAATTCCTTTCCTCGGTGCCTATCTTCTCCCTGCAGGCTCCCTTTCTCCAAAGGGTATTAGATGTCATTTCTCTACTTGATGTCCCTTTCTACATCATAGTCTCCAAATTATAAACAATTAACAATTAAATGAGTCAATGTATCTCCATCCTGTAGTGGTTTCTTAATTCATTTGAAAAGTTACCCTTAACATTTTTAAAAATTCTTAAATGTAACTTATCGACTTGCCTATATTTATAATGAGAACTAGAATTAGAATGAGGGTAGCAGTGTTGTGATCAGAATGTTTTCACAGAATTTAACAGAGATGTGTTTATTCTAGTTCCATTTTCTTGACTTTATTCTAAAATTTTAACATGACATGAAGTCTCTAAGAAGAACACAGATAACCTAATACTACCAAAGACTGATGAGCCTGCAGGTGATGGCACAGGCAGGAAGAAAGGGCCACTGACATAAGACAGAAGGCTACATGCTCATGTTGACTTCCTCATTCATTTGTATGGCTCTTTGCATGTGCAGTGGAGACTGAGCAATGGACATGAATGTACCTTGAGGTCATGAAGAACAGTACACATGTGCTTTGTCACGAATTAACATTTGCAGGTATGATGGTGGAAATTATTTTGTAAATCAATAAAGGAAGGAATTGAAGAAGAAAACCAATCTGTTTAATCAACCAGTATTATTTTACTACTCCTTAGATGCTCAACAAGAAACCTACTTTCTATTCATGAGCAAAACATTTATCAGACTGTTTAGCCTCTTATGTATTTCCTGTAGACTTCTGTGAAGTATGGGTAATGACAGTTTTCTTCATAGAGATTTTATGAAATGTAAACTCGTCAATTCTTGGGAAGCACTTGGAACAATGAGTAAGCTAATTAAATATTATGATCCACCCTATACTCATTTTTAGTAAATATCTATATATACTGGCAAATAGAATATGATCTGTTCTTTAAGTAATTCCTAAACAGTTACTAGGATTCAGTAACAGGTTTCTGATTGAAAAACATATGTTATGGACATCATAATATGTTTCTGATATTTAAACATCATTTAAAAATAAGATTATATTTAGTTTGCTCTCTCTAAAATACCCATTGTTGTCATCTTGCTCATCAAATGACTGCCTTTCAATCTTTCATGGCACAAGTGTTCTCAAGATAGAAGGTGTCACTTCTGCAATCTAAAGATGATGACAGCGGGCTGGCTTATGTGTAAATGAATGGCCAGCTGCTTTGGTATCTTATTTCTCCAGTTAAAAGAATACCTGTTGGTAGTTAAGTCAATGAGAGAATCATTATCCCCAATATAATAATTTCTAATTTAGATTTACTTCAATATCATTTCAATATCGGGTCTATCAGATTTGACAATGAATTAAGGGGGAATATTTGAAAGTGATCAAGAAAATGTATTCTTAGATCAGCATGGGTTCAAACCCCTCTTCCACCGCTTAGTGGATGTTACTATTTTGGGTACATTCTCAATTTCACTATATCTCACTTTTCTTATCGGTAAACTAAGGTAACAGCAATCCTTACACAAAGAGTTACATGATTAAATAAACCAATCTGTGGAAATACACAGTGAATATCACAGAAGCATTAATTACTATCACCCTTGTTTTTAGCAGTCTGTAAGAAAATATGATTTACATGACATTTTTCTTACTGATCCCTATGACTTTTCAATAGAATGCCAAATAAACTGAAAACCCAGTTCCCTGAATGCTCCACAATTTGATTTGCCGTTCTGTCTTTTCACATAAAACTCCTGGTTCCGTCTTCTAACTTGTCTCAATAATTTGTGGCTCAAGTCATGCACTTGTAGAAACTTGATCATACAAAACTGGCCAGAGACCTAACTACCTCTTCCTCTCCAACCTAGATCAACCAAGTTCTTCACTTTCTTCCGCATATGTTATTACTCATCTCCCATATTATCTTAAATTTGTTAGAGAGAGACTTACTGAGAGGCCACTATGTGCTAAATACAGAGCAATCTTCTGCTTAAGCTGATCTATTATCACTGGATACAGAACAAACATTCCACAAATTACAGGCAAACAAAAAGAGAATTGGCCTCTTACACTCTCAAGCAAACTTTTGCCAATCTTCTTCATAATATTATGAACTTAATCTATACCACCTCCCATCTTTCCCATTGTCATCAGCATCTCAGTGAAAACCAGCCCCAAAGTGTGGCATATGTTTCAGTGGTCTTTGAATTAATTACTCATAGCTAAGGCATATTTTGTTACTCATCAGCCTTGCATCCTGTTTTCCTAATCTGCTTTCTGGTCAAGGCTAAGCATGCTTTTGAATTACTTCAACCTTCTCACATTGGGAGCTAGCACCATTGAATGTTGACTCATTGCAAACAAGTTCCCTAGTATCCAGGGCTATGAAACAAACAGCATCTTGAATAGTGGTTCACTCCTTTACACATGTTTGTCATCTGTTAAACAATCATCTTTTGTTCTGAAACTGGCCACCCTAAAAACAAAACTAAATAAATTCTGCCTATGAACTACTCAAATATTTGTCAATTTATTGTGGTTTAAAGACAGCTATCATAATAAATATAACAGATATATATAATTGAGACTACTTAAATATTTATTTATATAAGTAATCCCCCATCATATTTTCTTGTTTTCTTTCATTTTTGTCTTGCACTGTAGGTATTTTATATATTTAATAATACATCACACTTTTCAAATGTTTTCCATCAAAGTGGACCCGTGAAAAAAGGGGAACAAACACATAGATTTGTGAGGTGACATTTTTACTAGTCAGGAACTGCCTTCAGGGTCTACACATCTCCTTGAGCAGTTTCTGTTCAAGAGGAAATGTGTAGAAAAATTATATTTTTATTACTCAACATATCATGCACTTCTAATATGGTTCTGTAGGGGAAATTTTACAGCAAAATGCTGGTTCCTTTGAGTGTTATATGGGGGAAAGTCTAGTCTTGGGATTAAGAGACTGAAGTCTGATTTTTTTTTTTGTCTTCAAATTAGCTGTGGTTATCTGTGCAAGTGACCCTATTTACATATAACTCTCACCTCTGAGATGATCACAATAATGTAAGCTCCTCCAAACTAGTGTTGTATGACTTGGCATATGAAAAGCATTTAGTATGTAACAGGTAAAGAAGAGAAGACTGTGAATGAAAACTTTCTTCAGTATAATTTACCCTTTGCCTACTCTTTTGATGGCTTGGTTCATGTCGTACTGTTTCCTCAGTGAGGGAGGGAAGGCAATGCAGGAATAATTGGTTTCCTTTTACATGTAAAAGAGATAAATGTAATTTTAGTTGTCACTCAGATTTGTCTTTTCAAATCTTTACTTTCTTTCCCACTTAGTGATAAATGTTACTGGTTAGTAATTTCATTATCACCTAGAACATTAGACAAGTAGAAGAAATTAAGAATGTAATTCATTAGTTTTTGTGCCCTTAATGAGATGTAAATCATTGACTCAAATCCAATAGAAAATAGTAACACAACAAAATTATGGGAATTTTTGCCTTCCTTTCTTTTATACAATGTATCAAGTATGCATTACAACCAGTTAACAGAATCAACTATTCAAATTAAAACCACATCACAATGGAAGTGTTTAGGAATCAGAATACTTTCCATGGACTTTAATTAGTCTCATCCATGGAAGATGTTTGCACTGGATTTAGCATATCCTTCTCCGTCACACTTTTGCGATTATATATCGAAGTTTTACATTTACATATTGGCTTCTGGATTAGCTCAGTGTACTTCCAGCTTTCACTTGCCTTCCAATTTTCTTGCATATAGTAATCTGCTGCAAACATTTCCATCTTAAGTTTGTGTTGTATAGTAACTAAGGCTTCATAATTCACTAATTCTGGTTGGTGGTAACCATTTTAAAACAACATAGTCAGATTTACAGACAAAGTCTCTGTCTTGAACTTTATTTAAATTTGACTTAATCTTTCACTTATTTCTCCCATTAAAGTATATCCATTCACCCAAGTCTGGCAGAGGGATCAGGGGATGCCAGATCTAGAAATGAGATCCTATAATAATAGCTGCATTGTTCCGTGAGGGAAAATATAAGCAAA